TTTCTTTATTATTTTTGGTTTCTTTAGTTTTTGTTATTAGAAATAATGTTTTCTTTTCTTTTATTTTTGATTTTATTTATTTTGGTTTTGTTTGTTTACTAATAAATAAACTAGTACTTAAATAATAACTGTGAAAAACCTTCTGCTACCTAAAAATTTGCAGATTAATAAAGAACTACTCATAACAATATCTAATTAGTTTTTTTTTTTTTTTATTCTATATAAATGCAATTAGCTAAAACTTTTATTAGTATTGATAGTAAGTAATGATATATATTGTAAAAGTACAACTAACTATATATATAACTAGTTATATATACAATTTTAGATTATTTATTTTAAATAGTCTATTCAAAAGTTCTACACTAATTACCATATCTGAAATCTATTTAAAGATTCTCTATTTAAACCTTTTAACCTTATAACTTACTTGTATTCTATTTATTTTTACTAAGTTAGCTTAACACTATACTACTTCTCTAAAAAATTATTTGAGCTAATATATGTTTACAAACTTTATAATTTAGAGTCTAGACTCTATCTCAAGATATTCCTTCACTAACTCTTTAATTAATAAATACTATAGAATCTAACTATGCTATGCTATATCCTAATTTAGTTTATATATACTTTTGTTTGATATTCATACAAATCTAGTTTCTATTGTAGCTTTTCATCAAGTTAGTTTTCTATGTTTTATCAGATATTTTATAAGGCAGATCTTCTTAATTCTAAGATTAGCAAACAATATCAATAGAAAGCTATAATAGAAACTAGAGTCATACAAATATTGCAAAAGTCTAAGTTAGATAAATTTGTAAAATAAGTATAAACTACTCAGTAAATATGCTTCAAGGTTAAACCAGTTCTGCAGATATCACAGTATGTTGAATATAAAGTAATCTGAAATGACCTAAACTAAGTTAGATAAATAGATCTGTAATAAGCTAACTGGCTTAAATGGTTAAGTATTATAATGATATTAGTTGATTCTAATATGAATTAGTTAGATAGAATATTTAAATAAATAACTCACAAGTAGGTTATAGATATAGCAACTTGTGTAGAACCAAACAGATGATCTACCTGTATAACAGACTACTTAAAGTTTTTTAAAAACTTTAAGCAAAATAAAAAAATTTAGTCAGAACTATTAATATATCACTCCCACAAAGTCACCAATTAGACAATGACTAAAGTTGTATATGTAACAGGTTGTATACTCTTCATATAATTACAAACTGTAGAGGATTGTTAATAGATAACCTCATATATACCAACTAATAAAATCTACTCAGCAACGTAAGCTACCTTAATAACAAAAAAAAAAAAAAAAAAAAAAAAAAAATTGAAGTAAATAAAGAAGCTAAGAAAACATTACCAGAAACTAAGGTAAGTGTAGAAACTAAAGAATTTTCTATCAAAAATCATACTAATCAAAATAATACAGAAGCAAATACATCTATTGATTCGAAAAAATCACTAGAAATTCTTATCAAAAATGAATCTGATATAGATATCTTGATCCTTCTTTTACAATGAAAATTCAAAATATCAAAAGAGAGGTTAGAACAATAGAGAACCAAGATTACCTTTGAATTGCGGAATAATCAAAATTATTGAAAAAAAGAACATAAGATCTTAAGTAAGGCTGATTTCTTAGAACACAAGCGAAAGTTTAAGGCTAAAATAAGAGTTTCTACTACTCCGCACAAAAAAGAATTAAAAGAGCATTCTTTACTATTATTGAATATGCATAATTTTAGAGATTAAGTGATAATAGCACATCAACCAGTATCCTCTCCCTATTTTATAAAAAATCGCGTTAAAATAAAAAATTGGGAGCCTACTGGACCCTTTCTTTATTTCATAAAAATTACTAAAACAATATATGTACAAATAAAAAAAATTTTTTTTAAAATTTCCAGTCCTAAAAAATTATATTATTTTTTAAATACTTCCTGATTTATTTAATACTAACTCTAATTGTACCTCACCTTTCATTGTATATTGTTCCAAATGTTCTGGGTTTTTTAAAATATTTTTTAACTCGATTTTTTTCATCGTTGACTAATAAATATGAATCCAAATCATCAGATTTTTGAACGGACCTATGAATGAGCAAATCTACGGACAATCTACTAGCTCGTACCTACTCTAAATAAGTAAGTACAAAAATTACCTGAATTGGTAGGTGTCTGTAGACTTACTTCCTATAAATATACATAACAGTAAGGAAGATGTATAAGAAAACAAAACTGCTTTCTTTTATAATTAGAGAAATCATAAAACTTACAATGTTTTAAGGTTCTCCATTTCTTAGCGTTTTCAAATCGACAAAATTTTTATTTCCATCATAAATAGCGAGGGATATGTCTCTTAGATCTACTATATAAAAAAAGTATAGTTGTTTAGTTTATTTACTGAATTTAATAGAAAGTTCTCCTTCCATTGCGTTTACTCATCTTAAAAGCTAGAACTACTTATTTTTATACCTTTCATTATCTAGATCTAAAAACTGACCCAGAAAAAAAAAAATACACGATCAGTAATTACATTACTCAAAATCTAATACCAAATTTTTTCTCTGTTCCCTTAAATTTGATGATCGTTTAAAGTAGGTTTAGATCTTGACGATCTGTGAAATTCCAAGTTACCACAACATAAGAATTTTAATAACATTACTAATAAAGAATGTTGTACTCTTCCCCCTTATAGCATTTTTGAGTCTCATTCATGCCTTTCTCGTCGTGGGATTATATATACACTAAGAAAGGTATTTCAAGAAAATAATCGAAATATTCATTAATATAAAATTGTCATGGGAAAGTAATTCTGCGGGTAACTAATTATCCTTATTAAAGCCAATTAGATTTTGATTATAGCATATAATTTAAAGCATTTATAATAAGTTTTTTTTAGCTCTAGCAAATAAATACTATTTGTAAGTACTATTCAAATGCTATTCAAATAACAATGTGATGATTTTTTCAATAGTTTACTATCCCACAAGCATTATTAATTATCATTATGTAAACTTATCTTCATGTACACAGCTAAAAACCACCACATAATATATTCTAAATTTGAAATCTAGAATCATTAAAATGTGCTTTCGCAAAGTATTTCTACTAAAAAAAATCGACAACAAAATATTTTCAGCAAGCTGCAATTAGTTTCTATGTATAGCTTCTATATGTTTGCGGTAAGGGAAAAACCCAAACAACATATTATTAATAATATGCTAGTTCGAGGTTTCTCTTGTCAGCACTCAATATGTATAATTAAATTCGGCTTTTAATTTAGGTTATGGAATTCATTATCGTTATAGGTTTTGGTTTCAGCTTTGTGTTATGGAAAAATTGATACGTATCGAAATATTTTCGGCAAAGCCATAATTAGTTTCTACGACATGCATAATTAGCGGAATTAGGCCTTTATTTAACGCTAAATATCTCTATAAATTGGACCTTTATTCAGATATCCCAATTCATAGTTATATAAAGTAATACACTATTAATGCTTTAGGGTGTGTAATGGCCTATTAAAATCAAATATAGGCAGGGACACTAATTGCAGATTTTTTATTAGCACTGATATATACATATTATATATTAATAAAATGAAATTTACATTTATTGACATAACTAAATAACCAAATAGCATGCAATTTTTTTTTTTAATTGAAGCTCTCGACTAGCTCTACACTGAAATAGAGCTATTTTTTCAATATTTTTATAAAAAATATTTAGTACATTAACGATTAATTTTTGAATTTCGATTTTTGTTATTTATATATATATTTTTTAAAAAATATTGAAAAAATAGCTCTATTTCAGTGTGGAGCTGGTAGAGAGCTTCAATTTAAAAAAAAATTGCATGCTATTTGGTTAATTAGTTATGTCAATAAATGTAAATTTATTTTGATAAAATTTATATCGATTTTGATAATCATATGTGCCCCGATTTATAATTTAGTGATGTACAAATTCTGAAATTATGACTTTGTTTAAATTTAATTATTTTTTTCCCATCCGCTTATCAAACAACTTGCATAACTGAATTTACCATTAGAAAATCCGCAATTAGTGAAGATCATTAGTGACCCTACCTATCTTTGATTTTAATAGGCCGTTACACACCCTAACGTGACACTAGTGATGGGACCTTTGGCATTATTAATAATTAATAATTAATTATTAACAATCAGTCATGTTATTAACTACTTAATAACATGTTTGTGATACGTATAATAAATTTTGTTTGTTGCATAACTAATCAATTGTATTCAGTAAAAATTTTACGTATTACGTAGATAAAAAAATTTTTTATGCAAATATGCAAAATCTTTTATTTATTCAAAATTTATATATACGATTGATTTAATGATCAATTTGTATCAAATACATGAATATCATCTATCAAATTTTCAGATATCTGGTTCAAATTAACTATAAATTCATCAACATGGATCAACTGCAAATGTAAATACTGTATTAAAAAAGTAATAAACCTTATTGTTAAAGTTAGGGTTAAGGTCAGAAAGTTTGATTACTATCATACAGCTGTTCACTAACTAATGCTTTACTTGAACTTATGTGTCTTTTCATTCTTAGCTTTTCCTCTTACTGATATCGTAAGGTACTACCACCTTAACTAAAGGTTACATTGAAAAACCTATGTAAGTCAAACTGGTCGATTCTCTTAAAGAATTCATAACCTTTTGTATTATAATTATTACATCACTGATTCCATACACCTGATCCCAGCACTACGATCATGTGGGTACTGAAATCCATTATGACAATTACTTATACAAAATTTAGCAAGGAATTTTTTAATTAATCTACAGAAGGCGATTTAATAGTCAAAATTTTGAGTTATTAGCATAAATTACACGACGTGTTGTTCATAGCATACTGTAAAATATCCGACATATTTAAAGATTTCGAATGCCTTTAACATTTTCTTTTTAAAATTTTTACGATGAAATAATGCTATTGTAAATTTTGACATTTTTTATGGCATTATGTCATTGTAGAGTGTTCAGCTTATCCCCTTCAGATCATTATTTATTTAAATAATAGTATATTAGACTGTTATATATAATTTAATTACAATATGAGAGACTTATATGAGTAATATAGGTTTTAATTCAATATTTAATAACAAACTTTTTCAACTGAGTATATCAATTTTAATACATGGTAGAACTCTTTTTTTTAAAAAAAATACAATAATTGTAAATTTAGAAAAGTAATCCTTAAGGTTTTATTATTTATATAATATTTATTATACAGGATTTTAGAAATACCTAATACTAAATTTTCTTTACAGGATTTCTCAAATTCTTACTATAGAAGTAATTGTCATCATAATTGTATAAAACCATTATAGTTCGATACAATATTTGAAAATTTTGTTTTTTGAGAAAACTTAACCTGTTCCAGGGGGTATACATAGGTTATCCTAAACCTGGGGAGTATACATAGTTTATTCTGAACTGAGGTATAGATCATTAATCTATACCTTATATATAATTTGTACTACTGTTACAAAATCTGTTTTAAACGCGTGCATTTTATATAAGCAATATCTTGTACTTTATAATAAGCTACATATGATGTCTGACTTACAAAATAAAAATACAACTATTTTAGCTTCATCTTATCAACCACAAATTAATGATACATTTGAAAGTCATAGTGAATTTATTGACAAAATTAAAAACTATGCACAAAATCTTGGTTTTACTATTAGACTTGGAAAATCTGAATATCTTAAGAAATCTGAAAATAAAGAAGAAAATGCTGTTTGAAAAAGGACATTATTATGTTCTCGAGCTGGTTTTTCTGAGTTAAAAGAACATAACTCTAATAATGAAATTTCAAAAAAAGAACGAAATCGAGTATCTCAGCATTGTGGCTGTTCTTTTTATATTCGTGCTTCTTTAAATAGTTTAAATAGCTTATGGTACATCATTAATATGAATCTTATTCATAATCATCAAATAGTTGAAGAAAATCATAGATTTTTTATGTCTAATAAACGAAATATTCCTGATGATGTCAAACAGTGAATAGAATTATTACGTCGAGCTGGTGTAGATGTTCCAACAATACGTGTAATATTAAAAGAAGAATTTGGTGATCATGTTACATGAATGTATGATGATATTTATAATTTTGTCTATCATTTAGAAGGATCTAGTTTAGAAAAAAGAGAATTTAATGCTGAAGAATTTATAAAAATATTAGAACAATTTAAGTATGATAATACTGAATTTTTTTATTTTGTTGATATTAATGAGAATATGAAAAGATTAGAGCGAGTAATATGGATGTTTTCTGAGCAACGTATTAATTATAGTAGATTTAATGATATAATTGTTTATGATAATACTTACAAGACAAATCGATTTAAAATACTATTTGGCATTTTTACTGGAGTAAATAATTATGGATATAGTATATGTTTTGCTGGAGCATTAATGATCGATGAAACTGAAGAAAATTTTTTATGGATTTTTATGAAATTTCTTGAAATAGTTAATCAACATGTACCAGCAGTTATTCTTACAGATGATGATCATGCAATGGCAAATGCTTATTCTAAGGTTTTGCAACCATTAGGTACTAAGCATCGTTTGTGTCAATAGCATTTAATGAAAAATATAATGAAAAATTTAAGTGCAAAGCTTAATACAAACTGGTCAGCATTTATTAAAGATTTCTATAAATGTCTTGGAGAAATGGATATTACAAACTTTCTTTCTCGGTGGAATATGCTTAAAACATCTTATCTGTTAGCAACAACTTATCTATCTCATATGGAAAAAATACAAGAAAAATGGGCTGCATATTTTAATAGTGATACGTTTATGGCAGATATGATAACTACACAATGTGGAGAGTCTATGAATAATATGATGAAAGGTTATTTAGATGCAAATACATCTCTTACTGCATTTATAGCTGCATTTCAATCAGCACTAGATACACAAAATGAAAAAACAAAGTTTCGAGTTTATCAACAAAATAATTTTAATATTATATATAAAACTACAAGTATATTTGAACGTCAGGCTGCTTCTATTTTAACTACCTTTGCTTTTAAAAAGATTCAAGAACAATTAATGCAATCATTTATATATAAATGTGAAGATATTTCAAGATAATATATTTCGAGTATTATTATAACTATCTTGTAAAAATTGTTGTTTATAGTATAAATTTTTATTACTAATACAATAGTGTTAAGTCGATCTTTAAAGTTCAAAGATATGAAACAGAAGCAAGTAAAAGAATTGTAAAATACGATTCAGGATCCAACTATTTTGCATGTTCTTGCAAATATACTCAATTTTCAGATTTTATATGTAGACATATTTTTCGAATAGCAATGCAATTAAACTTAGAAGAGCTTCTAGCTAGACTTTTTTATAATCGATGGAAAAAAAATTTAAGCAAAGAAGAAATTATCAATAATTATATTGTATTTTCAACATCAACTTCACAACAATCAACAACTTTCTCTAACATTGAATTAAATAATGATCAAAATTATCAGTATTTGTTAACTCAATTATTGCAAAAAATACAACGTTTCATATTACAAAATCCTACAACAGCTGCAACTCTATATAATTCTTTCAATGAAAAATTTGTTTCTGAGATTGAAAAAATCAGCATATCACAATCAAATAACTTGATCACATCAACAATAAAAAATCCATTAATTGTTCATGGCAAAGGGCATCTATCTAATAAAAGAATTTTAAGTACAGTGGAGTTAGCTAGTAATAAAAAGAAAAAAACTAGCAAAAACAAGGAGAATATATTAGAATCGCAAGAATGTATTAACTTGAATAATGATCAACCTAGTTATATAAGACCATTAGATAAAATTCAACATTCCAATATTATAATGATATCTTCGCAAGGACAAGATTCTGATTCTCCAATTCAGCAACTTGTTAAACCAAATTTTTTTTCAGAAGAGTTAAATTTAGGTAAGTTATTTTTAAAGGGTTTAAAATTTAAATATATATTGATATTATAATTTATTTTAGAAAAGAATCAAAATAAAGATGAACGATGTCCATACTGTAATAAAACTTTACCAAATCTGTTACCTTTAAAAGTCTCTGAGTATTTATACAATATTATGACAAAAAGAAGTCAAGTATTATTATACAAAGTTTTTTCTTGGTTTTTATAATCTAATCGGTCAATTTTTATAAGTATTTAAAAAAAAATTTTATTAGCTTTTTTTTTTAAATGTTTCTATATTTTCTTAAAATAAAATTTATAGAAAATTTTTTTATCATTAAAATTCGGATTATAGATTACTTTTGAAAAGATTATATTGTAAAAACCAAGAAATTTATTGTATAATTTATTTTTTTAAAAAAATCTAAATATATATATTTTGTGATTTATTATTAAAACCTGCTCATACTGCAGTTGAATAGTATGAATTTTGTCGAGTTCATAGAGGAGAAGGAATAGTTATTCCTTGCGGGATTAAAAAAGGATATCCATTATGCATAGATTTTACAAAGCTACCTAATCGAATTAGAAATTTAAAATGTGAATTACTGAAAATTATAAAAGGCATACGATATAGCGAATACCGTGTAGATGCAATTAAAAGAATTCAAGAAGTAGGAGCATCAAAAGCCAATAATCCATTATTACAAATCAACTATTTCGAATAACTTCAGGTTAGTCAAAAATTAATATTATAATCAAATTCATAGAGATTTAAAATAGACCTGGTCAGCTAGCTTTTTTTTTAAAAAAATATACGAGTATTGCAGAATGAAAGCCTAGAAGTGAATATTTAAGTTTTCACTATAGCAAACTTAACATTAATTCCTGAAGAATTATAATATTACATATTTAACAATTCTAAACTCGCTATAGTAAAAACTTAACTATTCACATCCGGGTTTTCATTCTGCAGTACTTATATATAAAAAAAATTTTTAAAGTTCTCAAATTTTGACCCGGCCTGGTTATAAAAACTGATTAATTAATTTTGTATAGCGATAGCATTATTATTTGGTTAATTTTTATTATTTTAAATTTTTATTTTTTAGCCTGAGTATTATGGAACCAAGGGTCTAGCTGTTATCTTAAAAACTTTAACTGAAATGTTTGTTCAGACTAAAATATTAACTGCAAATATTTGCTCCCCACAATCATCATCTCAATATTTGGCTCAAGTTCTCATTCCAGAAACTGCTATAAGACTTATTGCAGAAGATTTTAATAACATTTCCTTAGACATGGCAAAAGAAATTATGATTGATAGTGTTGAATTTGGACTGTATGTTTATGATGATAGCAACTGAAAGAAAGTAATTTTTTTTTCTTGTTAATTCATTTATAATCAAAATTTGAGATGGCTATAATATCGATATATTGTTGTCAAATAGAATTGAAGTTAAGCATAAGACATTTGTACATTGCCATGTAGTAAATAAATCATTGTGAAATGAAGTTTATTAAGTTTGATATAAAAATTTTTAAAGTGACATTTTATTTAACTAAAATATACATTTTATTAATAAACACATTAAATTTTATTGATATATGCATTTATAAATTCTGTATATTATTTTATTAATGTGCATTATAATAAATGCTATTCAAATTACTAAATTATATATAAATCACAACCTTCTGTAAATTCGCTATGAAATATCTCAATACACAAAACCCTAAATAAAAAAACCTACCAATCAAAAAGCTCAACAATTTATTATCTCAATTGTCCTAATAATTTGATACATGGCTTGATAATTCTTTATTCCAACATTTGGATATTACTGTTAGCCACTGCATACAATACCTGGCTGGGTCTTATTAAAGCATCACTTTAAAATATATATTAAAACTAGATATTATATTCGGACATAAATTATATGAAAAGTAATAAATTAGTATAGCTATATTCCCAAGAATTAAACTGCTAGGGGTTGTGAATAATACCCAGATCTCAATCATAGAGAGCATTATTTTTGAGGTTCTGTATGCAATGGCCAACGATAAATCGTCAAATAATTAATCAGCCTATAAATAAATAAACAAGTCAGACCTTAATGTTCAGAATTCGATTTCAGACACACTTCTCAGGATAAATAAATTTTAGCTATTGGGAATAAATTCAAGAATTGAATTAAGAAAATGTTACGTGTCTGAAATTGTCATCCAGTTTCATTTTCCATATTTGTAAAATCCGACAGAGGTAAAAGAACCAAAATGCCATCATACTTGACATTTGGAAACTGAAATCCATATCCAATGAGTGAAATCTATAGGTCACATTCTTATGCATTTGTTAGATTTCATCTTACAGAATTCAATTTCTAAAGCGCTTGGAAATTGAATCCTGTAATATGAAAACTATAAAATGCATAAGAATGTGACTTACAGGCTTTCACTCACATGTAATCGCTTGAGTTATCAGTTTGAGGACACCCATTTGCGAAGAAGTCTGGAATGCACCTTTAAAAATAAAAACTTGGCGGCACCTAAAGTATAAAGAATGTTAGTACTCGTTATAATGAACTCTCGATATGGTGAAGACTAATTTAAATCTCGATAATTGATGTTGAGTTCAAAAACCAATATATAAAAATTCTCTCGATGTAATAAACTTACTAATTAAAACCTCCCAATATAGTAAATTTGTAAAAAAAAAAATTTTTTATTACTGTATTAATGGAACGGATCACTTTGCTATAACGAGAGTGACTTATACAGCGAAAAATTGAATTACAGGAAGCAAACTATATAAATTAATACTTAGCCGTTTGTGCCTAATTCCTGGTTCTATGTATACTTGCCGGCCAAACCTAGACAAATCCAAAAACTCTTCAAAAAAACCATTACTATTTATCAAAAGAATATATATATATATAATTATAGAAATGTATTATTCGGTTGAATAAAGGTTATTAATGAAGCTTTTAGAAGTACGAATGAAAATTACTGTTTTCTTAAGAGCCTGTAACACTTTTATACCAGTTATATCCAAAATCGACTGTCTTTTATAGCTTTGTACTTGAGCCAATCATATTTAAGCGGTACAGGATAAAAGTCTGTACCTCCCTGATACAGGATAAAAAGCCTATATCCGGGGTACAGGATAAGGACGCTCTTGTTTTTTTTTTTTTACGCTCAATATTTGAGTCGGTCTACTCGTTAATTGTGCCTTCGACATAAGTCACTGCCAATCCTACAAAACAATTACAGAGGGCAATCGTGCTTACGAAACAACAATAGCCGGAATTAGGGCAGGTAGATCATGTTCATAACACATGAATGTTGTTAAACCTTAATCATAGTCATCTACGATCACGGGATTACTTGTCACGGGATTATTTGTTACGTCATTTCATATCACGCACCTCTCATGTGACACTTTTTAGAAATTAAGAATTATTGCGGCGATTATTTTTCTTTAATTAATAAAGATGAAGATTTATTCACATTAAATTTGGATAATTTAATGTAAGAAGTTTTAAGAAAGGAGTTAAAACAATAAGATGAAACTTTCACTTTAAAAGATATATACCTGGTAAATGGCCAAAACGCAATAGTTCAAGAATTCGGATAATTATGGAGGTTAAAATAGATTATTTTAGGTTTTTTTAGTTACGCATACAGATAATTGACTAAATTATAACTAGTTTTAGGTTTAAAAGGTATCTTGCATCAACCTAAAACTCTGTTGCTCGAAAAAATTGCATGTTTTTTTAACATGAGGAAGGGGAATTTGGGGAAAAGTAGAAGAGTAAAATATTAAATTTAATCTTTTCGAAATTTCCTAGGTTTGCTGGTTCTCTGTAATTGAATCTTTTAACACCTCTTACAATTTACAATCGTGAGAGGTAATTGATGAAAATTGTCGGTTAATATTTTTTTTTAAAAAAAATATAGACGTTATTCTACACTTTTTGTTTGCTTTTAGGAGGAAAGTTTTCGAATTTTTTTCTTGTAAGCGACATCAAAAAAACAGAGGGTTATCTGGGGATTATTATAATCACTAGAAATGCTTAAAATTCGTGTGTATTCCTCATCCGCAGGATAGTCTTTTTTCTAAATGACTAGCGAAAAACGCTGCAAAACTAATCTAATTTGTTGATTAGGTTGCGAGCGAAGTCGCACTGAAGGGACAGTTTTTCTAAAAAAAAATTTTTTTAGAGTCTGTAACCTAGAAAAATAAGGGACGGCAAAAAGAAGCCTTTAGTGGTTGATGATCCGTATGGGCCTAACCATATATAGTTAGTGCTTAAATTGGGTTATCTTACCTACTAGGTATGTAGGACGAAGGCGTATTGCGCCATCGATCATTCCTATATCAGAAAGAAAATACCGGTTAGATTATTCTAATCGAGTATAATGGATTGATTGTAAAGAGTTTTTTGGAATACAGAAAACTTCAAAAGCAGTCAAACCAAGTTACTATAGATACCTGGTTGATCCTGCCAGTAGTCATATGCTTGTCTCAAAGATTAAGCCATGCATGTCTAAGTATA